TGTTAAAATTACTATGAATAATCCTTTTTTACTTTCTGGATAATCCTGATTCATTTAGGTGTTACTTCTTATGATCTATTAATATATGAGTGTCTTATGGATATACTAATCCCTGACAGTGGTTCATGAGTCACTCAGGTGTGCTGACATCTGAAGAGTGAGTCAAGCTGTGAAGACCAAGTGTTATCAAGACTTCAGCATTCTCCAGCTCTAGCAAAGGTCTCTGCCTTAAGCACTGTGTGCTTCAATGTCAGCAAGGCCAACTGCCTTTATTTGACACTGTCAGATTTCTCCTGGTTACTGGCAATCAGTTGCAAGATTCAGACTGCTCAGACTGACATGCCTCTGCCCACTCACTTATTTCCACAGTTGGTACCAAGAATTCCTTCAAGAGCTATTAAACTTTGCTGAGTGTGGTGGTGCATGTCTATAATCCTAGCATTCTGGGAGGCAGAGGCAGGTGGATCTCTGTGAGTTCGAGGCCAGCCTAAGCTACAAAGTGAGTCCAAGATAGCCAAGGCTACACAGGGAAACCCTGTCTTGAAAAGCAAAAAAATGATCTGCCAAATTTCATAATCTTGAAAACAGATCGCATCTCAACTTCCAGCCTCAGTCATTCTGCATTGCCAAGATCAACCTATTCAATGTGCTTTCTTGTAATGCTCTCTGAAGCCTCGCCCCCTTAAAATAACATGGGCGGTAAGTGTAGAAGTCAGAGGGACAGGACTCTGTTTTCTCCCTCTACCATGTGAATCCCTGAGATGCAACTCAGATCATCAGGCTCTGTGGCACATCACTTGCTGAGCCATCTCACCGCCTTCATTAGAAACAGGCAAAGGCAATTACAGATGCAGAATCTGGAGCAGGATGTAGAGTGTTGTTGGTTATATGCTCAGGAATGAAATAGCTGGGTCGTGGTACTTCTATTTTTAGCTTGTAAGAAATCTCTAGACTGATTTCCAGAGTGGCTCTCCGGAAATTTTACCCTTAACAGTGTACAAGGGTACCCATATCTGAAGAGGCATTTGTCATTTATATCTTGATTTTGGCAGTTCTGAGTGAGGTCTGATTCACAATAGGAAATAGCATGAAGATGTCTACCAACTGTTGAATAAGTAGTACTCAGTAGCATAGAAAAATTATGAAATTTGCAGGTAAATGGAACTAGAAAAACTTAATACAGACTGGTTAATCAGGGAAAGACAAAAGCTTTGTCTCTTACGTGGATACTTTGAATTTCTTGTTTTATGTTTAACCTGGAGTATGGGGAAACAAGGAAACTGGAAATGAGCCACTGTAACTGGATGCCTTAAGGGAGGGGACAGTAAAATGAGAGGGAATACTAAGTGTGGAAAGGTTCAAGCACAGAGAGGTTGAGGAATGAGAAAACATGATTGGAAACATGGCTCCACCAAACTGAAGGGGACATAGCCAACATACATAGCTGTATGGAAACCCATGATTTTGTAACCAAATATAAAAGCCCTATTGAAGCGGAGAGTAGAATAGAGGTTACAGGAAAAAGGGGTGGGGGTCTTGAGATTAAGAGAACATAGGGTGATCAGTGTAAGGAGAGTGTAAAGGTTTGGTTGCTAGCCAAAACTAAAGATACATAAAGAAGCCTTACGGAAATCAACAAGTTGGTAAGCAAATATATACAAAAGGACTTTGATCAGAATGAGTAGATAACGCTGCTCCTACAAGACATTTAAATGAAAATTTCAGTGCCAAGCATGGGATCCAAGTTACTGGTCTGATAGGCCCAAAAGGAACCCCAAATAAGCTGATTGCCCACCATAGCTAGATACCCAAACTCTATTGCTCAGGACATATAGAAATCAACCTTGAAATGGCCAGAACACACTGACACAATGATAGATAGTAGTGTGCAGGCTGCTGCTCTCACTTGATGTTGGGCTAGGATACTCACTTGCAGGCAAGATGAGGATATTGGTGCAATGATGGACATGAAAGTTTTGAAGGTAACCAAGTGCTTTCTGATCGAAAATGAGGCCTGTGCCATGGAAGGGATTTTATACTTGGTACTAAAAACCTACTTAGATGCTTTTAAGGCCCTAGAGGATAAAATGTTTCACTAAAATGTCATGCTACCTTCTAGATATGCACGCTAATACTCACAGACTATTGTTGCTTTTAATATTTGTCAGCCAAGCTTCTTTTTGCAGTGGGTAGGGGTTAATGCAGATTCCTAACTCACCAAAGACTGAGTGTAACTGAGCACTCAGTTACCCATTGGTCTTCTATAGCAATCCCCCACCATCCA